TACACGCTACATTACGAAAGCACCAATATACTAAACTTTATAGTTAACTTGCTACCTGGATAGTTATTTTTCCCGTGCTAATTCTTCAACAAACAATTTAATCTCGCAAATTTAATCTTTAATCAAACGTTCGGGAGTTGTCAAAAAAATTTCGAGGTTAGTAAATTGTGCTGCTGTAGTCTGTATGCCAAGGGGATTACGTTTGTAGCCAATTTTTAAGTTTCTCTAATTTATAAAATAATAATAAAAAACCACGAAAATAATAGCAGAGAATAATAGCAGACGCAATGTATACAAGCTGTTTTTGTTCTTCAATGCGTCATTGTTAAAACTAATTATTGGAGTATTTTTTAAACTTACTTCTTAAATAATATCAATGACAGTGTTCCTTTGTAACTTCCACACCTGTTTTGTTTAGCAGAAAATTAACGCAAAGAAGTGCCGTTTTTAGATATTTCTAGAAGCTTAGTAGTTTAGTTTTGATTATGGAGAAAAGTTGTCGATTTGTTGGCGTTGGTGGAATTTCTTGTGGTGAAAGTCGTGGATTACAGGAGATTAGTTGCTTATTTGATTGTAAGGAAGATATGAGTGTTCAACTATCAAACTGTCATCTTTCTAAATCGAACTTGAGAGAGAACGAGTTAATTGCTATTCGCGCGGGAATGTTCAATCTTACCGAAGGCGAAGACCAATTTAAGATGATGTTTATTTGTCCGTCCCACCGTCATAATTTGGGACGATTTTGGAGGCCGCTAAGACCGTGCCAGTATTCCCTCCGTTCGGGTCCTGTTCGTAAGTGTGAGGAAGAGATGTTTTCAATGTGTCATTATCAAAAACAGTTTTTACTCTTTATGGGAAATTAATTCAAATGGATCTCGTAAGTACAGGGGCGTAGGAAGCTTCCAAAAGTTGGGGGGGGGGGGCGCAGGCCTTGAAGGGCACTTTTCAAAAAAAAAGGGCACCTAAAAATTTTTTTGGACGACCCTCCCCCGTCGCAAAAAAAAATTCCGGTCAGTGTACCATTTTAGGGGTAAAAAAAAATTTTCCGGACATGTCCTTAAAAATTTTCCGGATATTCCCCATTTTTTCCATGAATACTATAAAAATTTTCTGGAAAACCCCAAAATTGGCCCCCTGCGTAAGTATTACGCTACTTTTATTTCTTCAAGTGTTGTAATTAGTACTTTAATGACGCAGGGGAAACTGGAGATAACTATCGTAAGTCTACGTGTTCTTCATTAAGGAGAATGCGTAACTTTACGTGTTCTTCATTTTGAGGCGAAAGCACAAAGAGAAATGCTTGTGGACAACTTGTGGAAAATGCTTGCTGAGATCGACGTATGCCATCCTTACGACATGTATGATTTATATGACATGTACAAACAGAAGAGCCTATCAGGTATCTGTTTTTAAAATAACGATGCTCAAAGAAATTTTTGTGTGCATTTTGAACTTCAGTTCAAATCAATGGATAAAAAACAGACTCTCATAGATAAAATATCATCCATGTTTGGGCAATGCATATGTTTACAAATAAATAACTAAACTGTGCAGGTGCGGACAAATACTCCCAGACTAACTTGGACATGTCGAGAGATGTCATTGTTCTCGGTCCGCGAGTGTGTGGAGCTTTGTGGAGCCTGTACTAAAAACGCCGCATGCAAACTACGATGTTATGTATTTTTATTGCTATATAATTTATACTACTATTATGAGACAAATCAAATTTTGCCGAAAAATACCAATTGAAGTTGAAAGTTATTCACAGAATAGCGATTAGCTGCAAACTACTGTAAAATTACTATTATTGCTGTATATATAGATAAAAGATAAAGGACAGATCTCAGTATACGTCGCAGCTAGTCAATGTCAATGCAACAAAGATCGTTTTATACGATGAATTGAATGGTTTGCATGAAAGGACAAAAATTCTGCCAATTGGGCAATGCGGAATAACAGAATATAATAACAAGTTCATGGATTTATTAATTCGATGCGACGTTACGGCAACACACATTTTTTACATTGGCATTGAACCTGTCCAGTCATGAGGGATACAACGTCCTAGACGAATTTATTTCTTCTGACGTTTTAGACCTCAAAGCTCCGTCGCTTTTCATCGATCGAATTAAACTTTTCTGAGTTAAATACAATGATTGTGCAATATATTAGTCGCTATAAAAACTCCGCGAGCAAGCTTGAACGTGTTTCCGGTTATGACAAAGGTAAACAATAGAGCTATTTATAGCCATAATTTATGAATTTTGCACTCCTCCATATTCCTTTTGCCGACAAGTTTTATTGCGAATAACATAACTTTAAGTATTCTACTTTAACCCTAAAAGTGTTTTAGACACCAGGTAGGTTGCACTTTTGAGAATTTTTAGTTTGAATTTTGTACCTAATCATTAGTTGTTCGGCGAACGAAAATAGCGACTTCCTTGGATGGAAACTAGTAGGCTTAAAATAAGATGTACATTCAAATTCTTTCAACATTCTAAAAGAAGAAGAATATGTCTCAATACGCTGAAAAATGTTTTTAATTTGACGCGAAACTTCCCGAGTTATGATGCACAATTTAACACATATTTGACCGCCGTTTTGGGGGTCAAATTTCAGTGTCGCTGACGTCCAGACAAAAATTCGTCATAACTCAAAAAAAAAGAAAAATTTAGAAATTCTAGTATTAATTTAATACCTTTTAGGACAAAGGTAGTTCATGGTAAAAATATAAACGAAATCTAATTTTCAATCTGAAACGCTCTGCATGGTTCTTAGTGAGACAGCCACTTAAAATTCAAAGCAAACTTCTTCACAGCTTGTCTATAAATTTGGAAATATTTCTTCAGAGATATTAGATAGCTTAAGATCTACGACGTCGACGTCAGCTAGGACGTCAGGGCTAAGCAGAGGACTGGAACTAGAACGTCGTCCTAAATAAATAAACTTCCACTTAAGTTTCACGACGTAGATATTTAAACTATAAATATTTACATACTTTTGAAAATGAATTTAAAAGAGCCGTGTGAATCATTACCGTTTGTTATTGTATTTACGACGGTAAAACTCTTGTTGCGAGGTTGTTCACGTTTGGTGGACGACGAGTAAATTGAGAAAGACACATGCACACTTCAAAAACTATTACCAATTTACTTCTGCTTGCCGCCCTGAATATTAGACGTCGTAGATACGTGAGCTATCGACTTATTTAGGACGACGTCCTAGTCCCAGTCCTCTGCTTAGCCCTGACGTCCTAGCTGGCGTCGACGTCGTAGATCTTAAGCTATCTATTGTCTGGAGTTTACTTCTCTGAAGGTTTGAAATAGAGACGTGTAGAAATACACAAACTAAAACAGCAGGTTAAATTTTAACCCACGGTTAGCACTAATCCACATTTGAACAACCAGCCCCTGCCGTCTATCCATAAGGAAATCGCATATCCAGTTGATAATATGAGGGTTAATGCCGTAATTTTTAAATTTCGTGATGAGCAGAGAGTGGTCGATAAGGTCGAAGGCTTTTTAATAATCCATCATTATAGTGCTCGCACGTCGGAGCCGTACCGTCGGTAGCTTTCAACCATTGGTGGGTAAGGTTAATTAGGGCGTGGGTTGTTGAAGATTGTGGGATACAACCGTACTGATCTGGTCGGATATGCTTAAGAACAGCAGGTTTAACGTGGTTTTGCACAACATAATCGTCAGCGATTTTCGGTATAGTTGGAGTCAAGGAAATAGGTCTGGGATCTTATATCATTTAGTGTGGAGGTTTTCGGCAAAGCTGTAACGTTTGCACTTTTTCAAAGGAGTGGTAGCTGTTCCTACTTGAAGGACGAGTTGATTAACAAAGAAAGGGTGAAGTCAAAATATGAGCAAAATCCTTTAAAACCTGCACCGGAAGTTTTGGATACTTTTATTGAGCTCAGTTGTTTGGCTATCGATCCTGTGGTCGCAGCTTACAAGTCGGAGAAAATTTGGAATTATTTTTATGGAGTTCTAGGAATGACCTTTTGGGTTTTGCAAGGGAAATGAGGACGGTGTTATGGTCAGCTAAACCAAATGGTGGATTCTTATTTGGAGCCTGATAAAATGTATCGAGGTTAGTCAGGATTAAATCCAATGTTCTTTCTCCTTGTGTTGGGAATTTTACTAACTGCTTTAAGGTGATTCATCAGTTTTGCATTGCGCACTTTTCTGCGCATATCTAATAACAAATTCTAGCTAATATATGTAATCGAACTGCAATGTAAAGTGATAAAGAAAGAGTAAGAGCAAAGAGAAAAACACTCTGCATTGATTAGGCGTGCATCAGGAAATATACCTTCAAAAAATAACAGAACTCTACAACTTATAATATTTTACATTTTTCGCGCATGCTTCCCAAAATAACCCGACTGAGAAGATGGCAAAAGGCATCTTTGCATCTTTACACCACGACAATGCACGTTATGGTTTTTGATTCCCTAAAATACCATATTTTCTTGTATATAATCACCAGATAGACATTTTAGTAGGATCGTTGTTAAAAAAATCCGTAACAGTTGAGCAATTGCGATTGTTCCCGTAACTCGTAAAAGGGTGGGGGAAAAGGTGGCATATTACACTTGTCATATCTTCGAAACGAGTTCGGTGACCCTTTTTTCTGTCACTATGAGCATATCATAAACTTCACCCCGGGTAAGTTTCAGCAAATTCTCATTTCCATGGTAATTACTGATGAATCACCTTAAACGAAATTGGGGAGTTAGTTGAGCAGTATTAAGGCGATTAAAGTATCCGGCAATTATCATTGCAGCATTCAACGTAAAACGTTCGATTTCAGACAAAGTATTAAATAGATAGTTGATCATTTGCTCGTCGTCTGCAGTTGGTGGATGGTATACTACTCCTACTATTAGATGAGAAAAGCCACGGGATACTCGTCTGGAACCTAATGATCAATGTTCGTACTTGGGACTTTGCTTTCCTGAAAATAAGGTGGATTGACAAGGATGTCCATTGGTGGTCGTAGTAGGTACTGTTATCGTGTCGCAGGAAAAGGGCTGCACATCTCTGTGGGAAATAGTTTGGAGTGCTTTTTTCTATTCGTTTCTGGTCGACCAAGGTCGTTTTTCTATTCGTTTCTGTCTAAAAAGGGAAGTTAGTTGCGTTCGTCGGGAAAGGACGTGTGCTTTATAATCACGCGTGATAAAAAATAAACCAATCAGATGTATTTCGTCGAAAAAAAATCCATAGGTGGCCGAATGTCGGGGTGTTGTTTCAGTATAAAGCCGGTTACAGACGAGCAAGTTTTCTGTGACAAGTTTTTATGTGACAAGTTTTATTTGCCAAGTGCACGTGTGTATATGCAACAAATTTTATATGACAAGTTTTCATATGACAAGTTTTATTTGCTGGTGTGAACCAGGGCTTGAATTTTTTCGCGGCAAACGCGGCAATTGCCGTAGAGGGAGAACAAAATGCCGTGGATCATTGCGGCAACGACGGCGATTTTTTGCCGTATATATAGTGTAATTTTTATACTATTCACTGTGCATTACTATTTTGATACTTGAGTTCAGATGTTGATCAAATCATGCGTAAATTACTATTTTAGTCTCAGTTTTCTTCGAAAAAAAAAACACTAAAGAAATACGTAAACATGTTTCTAGCTTGTCAACAATCCAAAGTAAAAATAAAATAAAATTTTTATTACAGTAATTTGAAAAAATGCCGTGGAAACTGCCAACATTGCCGTAGACAGCTGTTAGATAGATCAACTTTATTTAGGCACACTAATCTCATTCAACATTATGCTGCTTTCCATGAGAGCTGTGCTGGCTAACTGTTACAATTTTAAGACTAATTTACTAATACATACAAACTATTATTATATAAATGCTATTTAACTAAACTACTTAACTTAATAATTGGGAGGCCGAGGAGAAAGGGTTTTTACAAAACGAGTTGTAAGATATCGAATTTCGAATATTTTCTGGTATCCTATTCCACAATTTAGCTGTAATTCAATTCCACTGTAACTGAAACTTTTTTTAAAAAATTCTGTCCTGGGCCTTGGAATAAAAAGCCCAGTTGAAGAACCTCTTAGATTATAACTATTAACAGTGTTGGAAAATTGGAAAATGTTACACAGTCTTTGTGGAGCTAATTGATTTACTGTTTTGTACATGAGTTTGGCCTTCATTAATGCTCTACGTTCTTCAAGAGATGTCCAACCGAGAGCAGTACGAGCTAAGATAGACTGTCCATGCTCATTTTTAAAACTAATAATTAATCTAGCCGCTCGATTCTGCAATTTTTGAAGACGTTCGCCGAGGGTTTTGCCAAGTTCATCCCAAACCTCACAACAGTAATCAAAATGCGGCTGGATCAATGCATTGTACACCAGCACTAATGTATCTCGGTCGACAAATTTTTTAAGTTTTTTTAACGCACTAATCCCCGAAGATACTTTACTAGCGATATATTCAATATGTTTTTCCCAGTTTAGGTTCTCATCGATTTCAACTCCTAGCACTTTTGCGCATTTTACTCTTTTGATTGAACGTGTGTCGATCTTAACTGTGGGTTGGACATCCATGCTATTAATCTTAGGGCGTGATCCAATCAAAATATATTCCGTTTTCGCAATATTTAAGCTAAGTTAATTTGTTTGAAGACAACCACACTTTAACATTTTTCAAGTCCTTATTCGCTATCTCTTCTGCTTCATTTAATGTTTTGCCAACAGCTGTAAGGCTGGTATCATCTGCAAACATCCTTGGTGTTGTATGTTTGAGACAATTTGGCAAATCATTTATATAGATAATAAACAGAAGAGGGCCAAGTATACTTCCCTGAGGGATGCCGCAAGTTATTCCTCTCTGATCTGAAAGCATTCCATTTAGCTGACATCTCTGTGTTCGATTTGTTAAGTAATTACTTAGTAAATCTAGGGCTTTATTACCAAAGCCATACCGTTCCAACTTACGTAAAAGAATTTCATGGTTGACAGTATCGAATGCTTTCTTTAAATCGAGAAGAACAACTATGTTGTATAGGCCACGGTCCATGTTAATATACCATTCATTAGTACAATCTAAAAGTGTGGTAGTTGTGGAATGAAATTGTCTAAAACCAAAATGATGTTCTGAAAGAATATTCTGTTTCTTTAAATAATCATACACTTGGTCGTACAGAATCCTTTCCATCAGTTTGCTGACCACATGCAGGTAAAATTGAGATTGGTCTATAGTTGTCTAACATAGTCCGTTGGCCTTTTTTAAAAATTGGAGTTACTCGTGCTACTTTCCACTCCATCGGGAATCTGTCAGTGGCAATAGACATATTAAAAATCCTTGTTAAAGGCTCTGCAATAGCAGGAGCTGCAGCCTTTAATTAGTACTTTAGCTGAAATTTCGTCAATACCTGTAGCTTTGGAGATAGTCAATTTGGTTATAAGCCATAAACTGTTGCAACATTTACAGGTTGGAAAATAAATCTCTCAACTGGTTCATGTTGAGGAATGAAGTCTCGGAAGCTACAGTATGTGTTCGTGTTCAATGTTTTCAGCAGGTTTGGGACCAACATCGGTAGAATAATCGTTGAAAACATTAACGGGTTCACTAGTTGATGCGACTGTTTTCTCTGGTGAATTAATTTCGTTGACGATATTTTGCTTCTGGCTTCTTCCTGGTATCTCATTAACTGTTTTCCACGCATGTTTTGGGTTCGTTTTGTTGTTGGGGAATTTTGTTGCATGGTATTCCCTTTTAGCATTTTGCAAGGCAATATTTGCAGCATTTCGAGATGACTTGGACGGCTTCCAATCGATTTCGTTATTGGTTTTATTGCTGCGCGCTTGAAGTGGTCTCTCTGAAACAACTTGTTTTTGACGGTTTTATTGAACCGGGGAACATTACCCTTTTTCTTTAATCTTTTTTATCTCTTCGGTGCGTGTTTGTCAGGCACTTGAAGGAGTAAGGTTTTCCAGCATTCCCACATTTCATCCACGTTTTGTTTGCAGCCAAGCTCTACCCATGGAAGCATATATGAGTCGCTGGGAAAGCTTTCAACATTAAGTTTCCTAAAGTTTCTAGATTCAACCGGATTTTGAGCATTTCCTTTAACGACGGGATTTGGTTTACGTGTTGCATGGATTAGACTATGATCACTTACTGTATACCGAGCTGCACCACGCCTGATTGAATAATTTTATCCGGGGG